TTTATATTTGGAATTTTAAGGTTAATTCTTTTAATTTTGACATTTTTCATGTAATTTTTCTTTATTGTTTTAAATTTTAATTATTTTTTGGGATGACTTGAATTGACCCATGGGTCAACCTAACCCGAACATTTAGGATTAGGGTTTAACATTTGACAACCCAACCTAAAATCAACATGAAGTACCTTGATCGAACCCGAACCCGACCCACCCAACCCAATTGCCAAGTCTACATGTGGTAGAGCAATACGTTGTAACCAAACACATATTAATGTTTTTACCATCAAAAGCTTGTTTTGAAAACAATATTTATGAAAATACAAAAAGCATAACATAAAAACACAAAACATGAAATTTATCCACACACAATCCATTGGGAAGAGAATTAAGAGGCAAAAATCTACTTAATTTGACAAACTTAGGAAGCTAAATTTTTAGTGACCCCAAAATATAGAATAATAAGAAAAAAATCTACTTAATTTGACCAAATTAATGGAACGATGAAGGTTTATTTTGGTCCTTGTTTCATTGAACTCTTCTAAAACCCTAAGGCTCTGTTTGCTTTTTAGTAAGATACTTACCTGGGTAAGTGTTTTTAGGGTAAGTGCATTTAGGGAGCATTTCTATTTGCCTCCTGATGAGGGCGGATTTGGCCCTCCAATGATATTGTGACATGTAGACATGACCTGACTAACAGACGACAGCTCAGCATGATCAGCCCGCAGCATAACAATTTTAGGTACCCATCTACCCCGAGCTAAAGTGACCTTGAGACAGGGTCACCTCGAAATGAGATCGCCTCGGTACCAGATCGCAACAAGAACACTTAGATTCCAAGGCACTTCGACATTCAGTCTAGTTCGAGACTTAAAAGCGTCAGCTCAGGGATACCGACGTGCCACTATGAGGATCCTGAAAATCCCTTCGACGGTTCCCGGACTTCACGGGATCACGTCGCATAACAGCCAGCGTTATCTCCCCCGACCAATTCAGGCGGACTTGATAAACTTTATAAGTTAGCAACACTATCTCCCATTATCGCAAAAACGGATCTCATCATGACGAGGATTCCGAAACTACTCCACGAAACCCGCGAGGACTCCATTATATAAAGGCTCCACCCCCCAGGGGTACAGGGTATGCGTGATTTCCTGCTCTCAAGCTCTCTCATTTTCAAGCAATTTTAGCTCGCTACTAGCCTACTGACTTAAGCATTGGAGTGACCTCACCGGGTTAGCATCCCGAGGTTCTCTGATATCCTTGCAGGTTCAGTCCACCGTCTGTCTGGAAGCCAAGTCACCTCCAGCTGGGAGCAGCCTGATCGTGCTAAATCACCTCCTATGGGAAACTAGGAACCCTATTTGCTTGATTAGCTTTTTTTTTTCTAATACTTTTATTTGTCCCATAATTATCAAAGTGCCTCTTTCCATATATTTTAAACTTAAAAAGAAACATAAAACAATAATATTAAATAAATAAATTGTTGTAGGCTTTGAGGCTTATGCATTTTATGGATTACATCCATTTTTTTTTTGGGTGGGTGGGGGGTGGGGGGGAGTGTTGGGGCTTTAGGGCTTACATCTTGGGGGCTTATACATATTTCTAATTAGGGGTGGATCCAAGTTGAGCCAAACCGAATATTTGACTATTCAATCTCCAATTGCTAGAAAGCCATGAGGCTTAAGCTCGAGTTCAAGCTCGGTTCAAGCTAGAGAGTTGAGCTTGAGTTCGGCTCGATTAAAATTAAAAATATAAATATAAAATATTTAATTTTGTTATTTTACACATAAAAAATTTAAAAATTATAAAAACTAGTTATTGTTATACATATAAAAACTAAAAATAATATATACAATATTTTTATTTTTATTTATATATTTATGTATATATTATTTTTTATATGTATAATATTTTTATTACATATACAAGCTTGATTAGGTTAGCGAGCCTTATGTGCTGAACTATATTAGGCTTGAGCTTGGCTTGATTAGAAAACAATCCTATATATTGGGCTCAAGCTCAGCGTGAAGCTTGATTTATACCAAGCCGAGTTAAGCTTTTCACAAGCCAAGCTCGAATAACTCATAAAAAGCTCGATTTGTTTTCACCCTTATTTCTAACAAAGGCTTAAGCCTCTAAGCAAAACCCAAGTCTCTTGCCTCAGAGCTTAAGCCCTTTGAAATCATGCATATTAAACTATTGGGCTACTATATGACCTTAATGGCTTTTTGAGTTCTTTAGGGCCCTATTTGGTTCACATTTTGGGGCCCAGTTTTTACTCAATTTTGCCAATATTTGACATGAATGGGGCAAGATGATGCTTAAAATGGACACCTATTCAAATTTTATCTAGAAATGGCCAATAATTTAAATTCCTTTCCTTACCTAAGTGTTGCATGCCCAAAAGTCTTCTTGCACTTGAGCAAGAATTGGCTTTATTCTTGAAAGAAATGTAGCATGTCCCTCATATTCGGAATGCCTATTCATGTTAATAAAGAGAAACATTGGGCATTACGTCTCTATCAACATTTGGGAGCCACCTATGTTCAAATTTGGAAAAAATGTGGTGACATGTGCTACATATGTGAGGGCCACCAACAATCATGTTGGGGCTACCAATTTTCATGTGATCCCACCAATTATTTTTATAAAAATTTCTCATATATATTCAAATTTGGAAGAAATTTTATGACATGCCAGACATATTTTTGAAATATATATTCACTTCCATAAATAGAAACATAAATAATAGACCTCAATCTTCATGTGTGATATATCCACCAATTTTTCATAATTTCTTATATGTTCAAATCTTATAAAACAATGTCAGGTGGGACCTACCAATGCAGTTTTTGATTTAAATAGCATGAAAATCCAAAAAGGTGATAATGCTAAATATTTTGAATTGATAGCTAATGACATCTTTACTTCAATGGGTCAAGTTGCATTTGAATAGAAAATTGAGCCAGACTAAATTGGATTGAGCTCAACTCAACCTTAACCCTATCTCAATTATTGAACCCCAACCCTAATCCAATCAAACCTATGTACTATTATAGATGATTTAGAATCAAGGTTCAAAGTATTAAAAATGCAAGGCATATCAGACATGCAATTTTATGAGAAGTATTATGTTAGGCTTTGGACATGCATAAATGCGGATGAAAAATACAAATACTCAAGGATATGACATGGGAACACAAATAAATCATAAAAATGCATTAAAAAAAGAAAAAGTAAATATAAATCTTAAGTGATGTTTTTATACATAAGAATCACGTACTTTAATGGTCTCTATGAATAAATATATAGTGAGTCATCATCATTCACAAACATATAAATATTACTTACCAAGGCAAATATAAGAATCACATACTTTATTTTATTTTCAAAATTACAAAAAATTCAAAAAAATAAATATTGGCAAAAAAGTTTATAATTGATCTATGAATATGATAGATCCATGGATCCACATTATCGTTATTATCTATCATTGCATAATGTAAAACCATATTAAATTTCCTTTTTTTATATACTGTATTTTTATTTCTCTCAAAATTTCGCTAAAAAATAAATTTATAAGAGCAAAGAATCAAATTATATAACCATCCACACCCAAGAGACCCTGATACGAGTCACAATTGAGTACGATTTTTTTTTAAATAAATATTTTATATTTATTTTTATTCCAAAATTTAAAAAAAATCAAAAAAAAAACAAAAACTTTGATGGATCTATGAATATAAGTATATGAAAGATCATCCATCCATATATTAGCATTATAGTTATTCCCTGTAATCAAATCATGCAAAATATATAATAGTTTTCTGTTATTTTATATTTTCCACCAATTTTTTTTGTCAAAAATTATATAGATTTACTTGTAAGACCAAAAAATATTGGATTTTAAAGACGACGAAAGTATATTATTGTAGATCTAAGTGTTTTATAACATTCAAACATAAACAGAATTTGAACAAATGAATCTAAAATAGAAACATCAAAGAAAACTTACTTCTTTTTCTCTTCTTACGTTGGATCCAAGACAATTATGATTTCAAAAATCTTGATTTATTTTTTTTTTATGCTTTGTTGTAATTCTTTTGCTGATCTGGTCACCTTGGGTTGTGTAAAGGAGTTTGAGAGTGTTCTGTCATCCTCTTATGAATTTTGTAAATGGCTACACTGATACCCTACCTTTGCAGTCAATACAGGCAAAATGGGTTTGATACACTTGGATGGTGCGAAAAATAGTGAAACACCCCAATTTGCGGTGTTCCATGCATCAACCATAAACTGGAACAATATGTATGGACCGGTATGTCCCTATAGTTGCAATATTTTGAACCTTGCTCTAAACTCCAACTCAAATTTGGTTGAATTGGGTTATTGATAAAGATGTGCTATGATACCAACTATAAACTTTTATAACCAAGAGTAACCACTCATCCCAGGGGTCGAGTGTCACCCAATTAAATAATCTCCCAACTATAAAGAGTCCTCGTCATTCCTGAGTGGCTTGATTTTAAAATAAAATGAAGTTATTTTAGCGTCATATCACTTGTTTTCACGTTTCCATTGTATAGATACAGTGATTTCAGGCTTAAAGGGAATTCAGCATCTTTAATTAGGGTTATGGTAGCAGAATTGAAGGGGGCTATGGGTACAAGTAGTAATAAATGATTTAAGCACTAATAATTTAACGGTGGATATGGCTTTAAATAGAATAGGTTGGCGAAACAGGATTCATGTATCCAATCCCATATAGTTGGGATAAGGCATGGATGATGATGGGTTATGGTAGCAGAACTATAACCAATTTTCCATCATGTTAAATATTTCAAGTGCGAGTGTAAATTCTCTATATGACAACTTGTTGATGCTATCCTACGTAACATGGATATCCAGGGTCTTTACATCATATTTCATTCTGAAGAAAAATCTTCTGTATGAGTAGCACAATTTGAGTAAATTTTCCCATAAATCCGAGTAGAGCTGGATGATGGAGCCAAATTATGCTAGTTCTACTGTCCAAAATGTAATCCATATTGAAACATACTCATGTTTGCTGCATGAAAATTGGGATTGATATCAACAAATGAAGTTGAAAAATGCTTACAAGAGGTTGAAGTTACTTCCCACTACACTGTATGGTTGGTAGATATTCGCTCTTTGTTCCAACTTTTGCAGGAGCCACAGCAATAGAACTGCTTTATAAGAAAATTAAAACAAATTACAATGTTACCTATCTACATAGCACACAGGGGAGCATGGCAGGATGGCTTCTGCAGATAAAAGCGCTTCCATAAAGAAGCAAGCTTCAATATACTTCCACATTCCACTGCTCTCCCTTCTTCAACTGCTTCTTGTACTCGGCCCAATCAATTCCTGCAAAATAGGGCATGTGAAAGTCAATGAGAGAAACAATATGTACAAGCATTATATCATGTCCTAACCACTCGATCTATTCTTACCATCCTTTGCAGCTAAAGACACCATTATGTCATCAATTCCCTTCTCCATTCCCTTCAGTCCACACATATAGATATAGGTGTTGTCTTTCTTGAGTAACTCCCATAGCTCCTCTGCGTACTGGGCCATTCGGGTTTGAATGTACATCTTCTCACCTTTTTCATTTGTTTGTTCTCTGCTCACAGCAAAGTCAAGCCTGAAGTTGTTGGGTGCTTTCTCTTTCATTTTCTCAAATTCCTGTCCAACCAGCATGGAAAGATTTTAGGTTGTCCTTCAAAAAATTCTGCAAACAATTAATCCAAAAACCAGAAAAATTCCTGAAGAGCATGAAATTACAGACTAGCTAACCTCCTTGTAGAGCAATGAACTACTTGTTGGAACACCCAAAAAGAGCCATGCCAATCCGTTGAACTGCAAAACATGTTAAAATTAGAGCCGCTTACTAAGAATAACTTCACAATTCATATTGACATCCCTTTAATTGTGTCAGAGTAGTGAAATGTGAACCTTGGAATATATCAAACAATTGGATGCTTCTCTAGAAGCTGCTCGGCGGTGGCCATGGAAATTGGTTTGCACTCAATCCACTAAAAAGGTTGAACAAGTATCACCCCTAATACTGAAGGTGTCGCTGTCACAAGCACCTTCCAGGGATTGAGTACATAAGGGCCCATATCAACGAAGTCCTCCTTGATCCAGCTATTCAGTGGTTCTCAATGGCCCCACAGATGATAGAACCATGTGTCTATGAGACATTGTCTTTGCCTCCATTTTATTACTTTCAGATACAAAATTAGTTGTTCAAGGTCTGGGCCCCATCTTTGTTTCAAGTTAGAAATGTGTAATAAGTCATTTCAAATGATAATGCATTAAAATCCTACTTAAGGAGATCTGTGTACCTTGTAGTCTTCATGCTTCTCAAAGAACATTTTCCACAAGAATGAACGAAAAGGAGCAATTCCTGTTCCTGTTGCAAGCTGCAAGAATAGAGACAAGACAACAGCTATTGATAAACCCATAGAACTCAAAAACGGTACATAAGCAGAACAAAGAATTCAATGGCAATTTTAATATTACAGCACACAACATAAAATTAAAAAAAAAAAGATGGACATTCATCAATGAAGACTACCATTATGATTGTGGCATTAGGATCTTTTGGCATAAGCATTTCTTTCCCAACAGGTCCTGTAATCTTCACTTCAGCTCCAGGTTTCAAATCACCTGAAGATCAAACAATTAGAGTTACAAGGGTAAAGGATAAAATAACTAGAGAACTTTCCCAATTACCAATCATCAAAGTATATACTTTCACTACAATGACCAGGTTAGAATCCCAGAACTACATAGAGACAATTGCGAGAGGAAAATTGAAAAAGACTCACATAGGAAATTTGAGCAAACTCCTTTAACTATTTCCCCTTGTTCATTGGTATAAACAAGTCGCTTGACACACAGAGAGACCTATAAAGACACGCAAAACTTAATTGGTTGTAATAAAAGAAAGAGAACTTTCCATCGAGAGCTTAAAATCGTAGCTTTGTATTTATGATTTATCAACAGATTAACGAATTATAGTAAGGGGTAAGGAAAATTCAGTGCGCATTCTGCACTTTTACGGATTATTTTAACTGGGAAAAAGAGATTAGAAAAATCAGGTATTTCTGAATAAGACTTACGGTCTTGGAGTCTCCGAAGTCCCCAAGAGCGCTGCTGGCAATCGAGTACAGCCTCAGCTTGTGGGGCTTTCCGTTCTTGTCAACGCCATCCGGAATTACTCCAATAGATTGCCCTTCTCTGTATGGGACTTCCCCTGTATCATTCAAGCAACCGGCACAAATGATCAAACAAGAAAAATGCCACATCAAATTTCAACCAACAAAACTCATCTGGGAGACAAAATAATAAGAAAAATCAGTACCTTCAGTGCTGAAGACCATGTGCCAAGTTTCTCCGGGAGCATCATCGCCGGTGATCTTGGTGTTGAGAAGGCATCTACCAGTGTATGGGTTCTTGGGCTTGAACTTGTTAACAACCACATCTTCTTCATTCTTTTTGGAAATCTTCTCTACCTTAGCCGGTGCCTCAGTGGTGACCTGAGCTCTGATAGAAACCACTCTCCCACGAATAGAGACATTCCTATAGTACAAACAAGTCTATAGAACCCAAAACGAGACGATAAACGGTAAGAGAAGGAAAACCCGGATACAATAGAAGAGGAAAAATGCAAAAAAGAAAGATAATCTCAACCATGAAGCGCTCCCCCGGTCTCATTCATTTAAGTTGTTTATTCGTTAGAACTTTACCTTGCTGAAGCCGATTCTCTCCAGAGAGGTTATAGATGTTCTGGTGGGAAGAGGAGATGACTTGGAGGATGGCAGAGAGACTGCAGCAGTCAGTGCAGCAGAAGCAGAAGCCATGATTTCGGTGGAGAAGAAAAAGTGAACGAAAGTAAATGTGGTTGAGAGGTTTGACGAGGAAAAGAAAGAGGAGGAGAAGATGGGGGGGAGAGGAGCGAGAAAAAGGGTTAGGATTTGGAGTGGGTGGAGGAGAATGGAAGGGCAATGCAGTGGTGGTTATTGTTGGAGGGAGTCGGATTCTGTGAGGATAAGTCTTCGGCCCCTAATACGAACTACCCACTGGTCACTGGATCAGATATTCAGATTCCTCTTCTCCCCGACACCATACGATACCGAACTAGAGAGTCTAGAGGTTCTGAGGTTGTGGCTTGAGATTTCAGATTTGTCAAAGAGAATGACGGGTAAATCCGGTGGCCGGTGATTGGTGTGGAAACGCCGGATCAGACCGGATCGATAACCAAAGAGCGGGTCGTTCGCTTGTCTCCGTTCCGGTCGGATCGTGGAACTCGAACCCTGATGAATTGGAGAAGACGCCGAAAAAGCTGACCCGACCAATCCGAAGGTGGGGTACCGTAGTGGATTGACGGCATGGTTCTTGCTTGGTCTTCAGTTAGCAGCTGAATTGAGTCTCAGAAAAGTGGGTGATTGTTTCTGACTGCATTAACTTGATCCTCACAAGTTAGCAAAGAAGATTATATGCGCTTTGATGCATCATTTTGAGGTGGTGGATTGGTGTTATATATTAACAAAGTTAAGAACTTATACTATTCTACCATTCTGTTCTAATTGGGCCTTGTTCTGTAACTCTTTTTATGTTCTCTGTGGACCCAATTGATTTCTTTAGTAATGATAATCGTCGAACCAAAAATTAGTAGACATTTTTGGATTCCAGTGCTTATTTGTTGATAAAGTTCATTTGGACCCCATATGAGTTCAAGGAATTCCTTGTTTATCTCTATATGTCCATATCAAAATGGGATACGATTACAATGGGATTGTATTATGATTTATTGATTTTATTTAATATTGGAACTCTAATTATTTAAATATCTCTAAGGTTGTTATCGTGTTAAGGAGAACTGAACTATCTAGTATTGATTTGTGGAGGCTTTTCACTTGACACCAGAGTCCAGAAACCAGTTCTAGTTTGGTATGAAACATGGGGAGTTTAGGCATGTTAAGACCCAACCCATGTCCAACTCTGTGGGCTGAACAGCCATGTAAACAAGCCCATTCCAAGAATGAATGGAGCTTTCAGTTGAGGCCAGCCATAGTGTAACTCAACTGACTATTAGTCTACAACCGAAATTCAAGCTACACATTCCAAGTTTCAAACCCCTGGGTTTTCAACTGAAAACCTATGCTCAAGCTAGAAATTGAAGAACATGTTTTTTGTTTCAGTTTTGAAAACAAAAAACACAAAAGCATGTTTTTTTTTTTTATTATGTGTTTTTGTTTTGGTTGTTTCCAAACTAGATGGTTTTGATTTGTGTTTTGAAACCAACAAAAAAAAGTAAAAAATAAAAAACAAGTGATGTTGTAAAACATTCCCTAAGTTGGTCAATGGTGGCGGCAACCAAGAGCCCTTTCTCTCTCTCTCTCTCCTCCACCCTTCTGCCAAGAAAGGGATCATCTCTTAAACCTGGCCAGTTAATACTCATTTCACATAAGAACTTTGCTATACGACCTTTGCAATTTATCTAGGGATGCAACTTGGGCAGGTTGGGCTAGGTTTATGGAAAAAATTTGGCCCATCCATTTCTGGGTTGGTTTTTTTAAGCCTCTTTTTCTCTCTCACACACACACTTTATCTCATTCAATTTCTTGTAAACTTTCTGCCCATGATGACACCAATTACTGTTTTACCTCACACCCATGCAAACGTGCCATGCATATGAAACTTCAAAACAGCCCAAGCTGTTTTTTACAAACAGCCAAACTTTTCTTGCATATGTCATACTAGCAAGTAAACCCATGCAAACACATGAATTGAATAGAAACTTAGTTAGGTTATGGTGCTGATATGTCCAAGCTAGATTCCATATTAAGGTTGGATTGGCCTAAGAGAGTTTTTATTGTAACTTACATTTTTTTTTTATATTTCAATTAAAAATAGATAACCACTTGTATGAAAAATGAGAGGAGTAGGAACATCAGAGCTCTATAGTTAGAGGCCGACCCCTCACAACCTCTTTCTAATGTAGATATGGATATGGTCTTACAAAAGATGACAGAAGTACATAGATAACATGCACAATATATGCATATTTGTATATATTTGTGCATGAGAGTGGCCCCTAGGATGTATATACATTGGATAATGGTCCATATTCTTTTGAATTATACCAGCATGTTGGAATACTTTTCATTCTATACAGTATATAAACACCTCAGCCTCTCATTTCATGGTTGCTAGTTGCTGAGGTCCTAAAGTGATACCTAGTGAGGGGGAGACCGGATCTGCTCTTCACATAGGGCACCTCATACGCACATCACTAGGGAGACCGGATCTGCTCTTCACATAGGGCACCTCATACGCACATCTTATCATGCATTGGGAGCATCTCCCGTATTTATAAGTTACACTGTTCCGTTCTGGGAGGGGAAGGGGGGGGGGGGGGTTGTGTGATCACAGTTCATTTTCATATCATATGGAATGAACAATGCTAGCTCCTGCAGGTAAGCATTTGCCTCTCTCTTTCTCTCTAATTAAAGAGATAATCCATTAAAGAGCTACTATGAACAATAGAAACAAGGGTACCGGCCAAGAACGAAAACAACACAACAACTAGTTCTGGAGCAATGCTAAGCCGGAACAGGAATTAAAACAATCACAGTAGGTATCGTACTCTCTTCCCAAGAGTTTTCATTACAGTCAATCTTAAGATACCCCTAGTTCTGGAGATCCCTGTTACAGTAGGTGGAGTGGATCACACCATTAACGTGATGCATGAAAACATCAACGACCTATGCATAGGTTGTGGATTTGTAGGCCATAAGTCCTATAACTGCGCCCATTCATCATTGGTGAAGGGTGGCCTGAGGCAAAAAGGAGGAAAAAATTTAGGAGGGTTCTCTCCCGCGATGGTTGGTGATTGGTGAGTGCATACATTGTCTAACACAGTGTTTGACAAGATAGGAGGGTTCTCTTTTCAGAGAGAACCTTGCAGAAATTTTTTGAAGAAGACAAGCTTCTTCACGAGAAAGAAAGATAGCAGACTTCTGTCCATTTGAGAAGGGGAAAGATTCCTTCACAAAAAAATTATTTATATTGAAGTTTGAGAAGGAAAAAGATCCATGCTTGAGAAGGGAGAAATTTCTGGGCCATTCTCTGAGCGACCTCTGTCCGTTTGAGCAAGATAGGAGAAATTTCAGCGGCAGTGAACAGTGAGAAGTGAGAACCAGCCGACCATCTTCCTCCTCTGCCATTCTCAAGGTGGGTTTACTACTATTTTCCCTTATTCTATCGCTAGTTTCTTTCTTATTTTTTAAGCATCCATTACAATCATCTATAGACAATAATTTCTTCGTCAAAAGATGTTCGTTCTAGAAATTTTTGTTTTTAATTTAAATCTTTTAGTTTCGGAATTGATCTTGATTGTTTGGGATGGGGCTGTATTATCCAATAACTTACCATATTCTTGTCAGGGCATTTTTTGATGCTTCACATTCCTTATGGACATCAGGATATGCTCAATTGAAAATTTTATCTTCTTTCAAAACATCATTGTTTTGAAGGCCTAGAGAGTACTAGCACTGACCACATGCCTGGTTGCTGAAAGATTGGAAATCAATTGGATTTGTAGTTGATGACCTTGGTTACCTCGAGATAATGTCAAATTTAAAGAATATTACCATATCCTGACCAAATCCTAGTTTTCTCCTGTCAAATTTAAAAAGGATGCTATATCTTTAGTGAGGTATCTGACATCAAATGATGGTGATGCTTTAAATTTCAACTACGACTCTTTATTATGTTTAAAATAAGCACACAAAGTATTAAGTAGTAGCTTTGGATCAGTTTTTGTTTTTTGGTTTAGAGTTGCTGTGTTTTGTATGTTGAGGTGCCATCTTGTCACCTCTCGGATTATATTTCTTTATTTCAATTAATGAATTTTCACTTTACTCTTCAAAAGAAAAGTAGTAGCTTTGGCATGTGACATTTAAGAACTGCCTTTGATGTTAGGTGATCTTATTTTACTGTTCAGTGGGAGCAACCTGTAAACAATCTTGTAAAAGCCTAATGTGGACTTTTGGAAGCATCTATAGTGGCAATTGACACCTATAGACAAAGAGTTTTGGTGATCTTTTCGATCAATAAAGAGTTCCAAAGATTCTTCATACATGGTAGAGAAAAAGTGCTACTTAGCTTCCAAAGAACACATGCTGAAATGCATAGAACATAATAATAAACGAAAAGGATAGATAACTTGAAAGAAAAGAATAAACTATCTAAGCTCAATTTCTTATGCAAATACCAACCTCTAGTATGAAAAAGGGCAAAAGATATTCCAACTCCAAAATGAATTATCTAAGCTCACTCTGCAGGTTCTTCAGTCTGTATACATCCTGGGTTTTAGGTACAACTAAGAATGTTTCTTACATAGAGTTGTAACTGAATTTTATGTTTGTTAAACATTAACTTAATTTGTTCAATTGTGGATCAATCCAATGTTATCTTACGCCAAATTTCTTATGGCTCTGTTGCAGGGGAACACCCTTATGGTGAACACCCCTCCAGGACATTCTTCATGAGAAATATAAATAGCCATGTTGAGGATACAGAATTAAARGCTCTTTTTGAGGTATTGTTTATTTCTATGGTATTTGTAATTTCTCTAACCAAGCTAATACAGAATTTTCTATCCACTTTGTATTATTGAGCATCATCACCAATCCACCACACCATCACACTTTCATTTCTTCTTGTATTTCTGAGGAACAGAACTGAAATTGTTTTGCCTTCATCAGAATAAATATGTGCAGTTGTGCATTTATGGCAACCAATAGACTAAAATTTCAGTGTGTAGATATCTAGATCTACTTACAAGTTGATGGGAGATTATCTAAAACTCTCCTTGACTTTAGTTACAGTATATGTAATTCATAAAACCTTCTAAGGGGTTTCCTGGAGGTATCTTAAGTTGAGGGGAAGTTTTGGACATGGTCAGTAAAGTTGGGGGAAGTTTTGAATAGTTTTCTTAAAGTTGATAAGATCACAAGTAATCAGAGTATTTACAATTCCAAAATTTGGTTGGAATGCATACAACCATTGAAA